TAAAAATATATTTTTATTGATTTAAGAGAGAAAGGGAGAGGGGGAGAGAGAGAAACATCAATGATGAGAGAGAACCATCGATCGGCTAATCTCTGCACGACTCCCTAGTGGGCCTAAGCCGGCAGTCAGACATCCCTCTCACAGTCTGGGGCTATCGCAGTCCAGGACCCCTCGCTCCTTACCACCTGCCTGCAGCAGAGGCGGGAGAGGCTTCCACCACCGTTGCTGTGCTCACCAGCCGTGAACCCAACTTCTGCCTGAGTGGTGCTCCCCCTGTGGGAATGCACTGCCCATCAGGGGGCAGCCCCTGCATTGACCATCTGCCCCCTGGTGGTCAGTGCATATCATAGTGACTGGTTGTTCCGCTGTTTGGTTGATTTGCACATTAGGCTTTTATTATATAGAACTAGAGGCCTGATGCACAAAATTCGTGCAAGGGGCTTGGACCTCACAGCCCTGGATTCGTCTAGAAGGTCGTCCGGAAAGTCGTCTGAAAGGTCGTCTGGATAGTTGTTCTGCTGTTCAGTCTAATTAGCATATTATCTCTTTATTATATAGGATTACTATTCCCATTTACTATAGTTTGAGAAAATCAGAAAGAAAGAGATTAACTAATTTACCAAGATCATCCAACCAGAATGTATTAAAAGCAGATGTTTGAGCAGAGGTAACTTGGCGGGAGAGTCTTTGGAAATAACCACAATGCTAGACTGTGAATGAGCTCTGGAAAGAACCCAGAAGAAAGGAAGCAGAAGAGAATAGGTCCTTGAGGTCGGGGAGTAGAGAGTTTCTGTAAGTGGAAAGCCTTTAAGTCTGTTGCCTGTGAGGAGTCATGGAGAGTGGTCGTGTGTGTGTGTGTGTGTGTGTGTGTGTGTGTGTGTGTCTAGTTACTGTGGAAGGAGCAATCTCAATGGTTTTGCTGCCTACAATGTGTTAATGATGAGAAGAAAGTGAGGGTGAGGACTAAGGTCAGAGATGAGTGCTTCTTTTCAAGTAGTTTTGGCCTTGAAGGGGAGGAAAGAGAATGGCAGCTGAGGGGATAGGGAGGAGGGACTGCCTCTATTCTCCGTAAGCCAGTGCCTGGCAAAGTTTCTCAGGTCCTCCTGCCCAGAGCTCCAAGGACGTTCTGCTTTCTACTTATAAATTGCTGTCAATTTAATGCCACCTCTTGAGTCAACCTCATCTCTGAGCACTTACGTCCCTGCGGAATCTGTACAGAGTATTTCTCATGACACAGAGCCTGTCATTCTTTCTCTTCCCCTACTTTGTCCCCAGAGTGGAAGTTAAGGACATGGTTGCTAAAGGAAAAGCCACCGAGAGGTGCTCCCTGAAGAGCCCAGGGAGGCGATTCCCACTCGGGCCTCCCTCAGTTTCCCACCGTCTTCAGCAGCGCATCCTTGGGATTCCACAAGGCTTCCTGGAGAAACCCCTGCAGCTGCGCCCTACTATTGGACGGACTGACAGCAACCTCCCCCTTCCAGGGATCTTCTGCGGAACAACTCCAGCTGCAGGGAGGTCCGTGTGCAGCCTGAGAAAGTGGGGGTGGGGGAGGGGGGAGAGCGGGGCTCTGGACGCGCCACGTGAGCCTTGGGGATTCTGGCGGTAAAGGTGGAGGAAGAGGAGGACCTGGCTCTGGAGCTGTTCTGTCAGCGCCTCTGTGGCTTCCTCTAACCGGAGACCCCACCCCCACCCCCCCAGCCAGCTCCGCAAGCTCTGCCGCTGTGGCTACGGGCCCCAAGCGCACAGCAAAGAGCAGATGCTAGAACTAGACTTGTACTCCTGCAACACCTCCCACTTGCTGTAATGATGGAAATATGTCTGATGCTAACAGCAACCTTACAACAGCGACAATTTAAAGTTTCTCATCACCCTGGCATGTACGTTGCTGTGAATGCCAAACATTAGGGCCTTTTTCTTTTATACTCTTATAAATTACAAAATATATACACACTTAGGATTGGTGTAAAAGCTTGGCATAGCTAATTTTTCTACTTACAATGCTAATATTTTATACATTAATATACATTAAATATATGTAGGCCATAGTTTCTCAATGGGATTTTTAAAATATATATTTTGGTTGATTTCAGAGAGGAAGAGAAACATCAATGATGAGAGGGAATCATTGATTGGCTGCCTCCTGCACATCTGACCGAGCCCACAACCCAGGCATGTGCCCTTGACTGGAATCAAACCAGGGACCCTTCAGTCTGCAGGCTGACGCTCTACCCACTGAGCCAAACCAGCTAGAGCTCAATGGGATTTTTTGTGTCCTGTGCACACAAGATGTTTAGCTGCATCTCCATCCTCTACCCACTAGACACCAGATGCATTCCAGCCGTCCACCAACAATGTCTCCCAAAATGCCCAATTTCTCCAGTTGAGAACCAATTACTGACACGACCTAAAAGCCTGTTATCAAGTATTTTTGCAACAACACAGTGATCTTTAGTGTTTGATATTTTCTTTCTTGATAAAGAAATAAGTCTGCCAAACAAATGGGGAGTTCATATTTCAACTTTTCACATATGCTTCCTAAAATTGGAATTTTTGGCTTTAGTCTTGGGTATAGGTAGTTAATCATGGACTATGGAAATAGGTCTGTTCCCAAAGTAATAAGAAGAGATATACATCCTTGAAGACAGTGTAAAAATTTCTTTAGGTAACACAATAAATTACACACACAATTGGACAAGCATTTATTAAATGCCTACTGTGTGCTCAGCACCATATTAGGCAATAGGGGTGCAGAGATACAAATGTAACATTACTATTCCTGCCCTCAAGGAGCTTACAATTTAATTTTGGAAATAAATACAAATGTGAAACTACAATACAGAGTGCTGGAAAATGATTACAAACCTACATATTATTAGTAAGTGCATGGGCCACAGTATAAACTGAAAAGATCAGTGCTGAGGCAGCACAGAATAGGGAGTCTTAGTGTGGGTGAAGTTAGTCAGGGAGGGCTTACTCAGAAGATATAAAGGAAACCAGACTTTGAAGGGGGTTATGAACATGAGCTGGGGCCAAAGAGCAATCTAAGGAAAAGGAACAGCATCAGAAAGGCACAGAGGCACGGTCAAGGGCCTGTAAGACAACAGTGAAGGTCACAGAAAGTGTGACTGTGATGCTGTAAGGGGACATGTTGGAGAAGGAGGCTGCTACACACAGAGCATAGAAGGCAGGTAATGGAGAACTTGGAACATCACTGCTTTGATGAGAATTATGTGCTGGGTGTTCTTGAGTGAAAATAAGACAATGAAAATGGAGTTTGAGAAAGATCATCTTGGATGCCTACAAGATGCAGATTTTAAAGAGCAGGGACGCTAGAAAGAAAGAATTGCAATAAACTGGGCCCCAGATAATACAGATCTGAAAAAACTCCTATGAGAAAATGTCAGAAATGGAAGGTTTTACACATTTTATGCTGTAGATGAACTTGTTACTGTCACCATAAATGTCCATCTGTAATCGTGCAGCCTCAGGAGAAAAGTTAGAATTGGAACAACTTAGCACAATTTTGGACACGTAGAATGGAGACCAGAACAAGACACCTACAAGACTGTGATAAGAAACATAGCCCTAGCCGGTTTGGATCAGTGAATAGAGCGTCAGCCCACAGATTGAGGGCTGCTGGGTTTGATTCCGGTCAAGGGCACATGCCTTGGTTGCAGGCTCAATCCTCGGGATTCATGTGGGAGGCGACCAATTGATCTGTTTCTTTCACACTGATGTTTTTCTCTCTCTGTCTCTCCTCCTCCCTGACACACTATAAAAATCAATGGAAAAATATCCTTACGTGAGGATTAATAGAAAAAAAGAAAACAAAGGATAGTGAGTCTAATCAGGATAACGAAATTAAGTAATGGTGCCTATATAAAAGGAAAATGGTATTTGGGGGACAAAGAGTGATGAGTTCTGTTTTCAAAGATCAAGTTGTGTTGGGAGACAGTGGAAAATATGGTTACTGACAATCAAAATGGATAAACTAGAGTGAGGACAGAAAAGCTAGTGAATATGTTCAGTGGGGAGGAGAAAAATAGAGAAAAGCTAGAAATTGGAGAAAAATGACCAAAAAGTGTCCCACAAGCCAAAGGAGAAGAGAATTTCTGAGATACAAGGTAAGTTCCACAGTACAGTATGAAATACAGATCAAGGATAAGAACTAAAAAAGGCATGACATTATCAAATGGTGACTCTGAGGACATTTCAGTAATCAAAGTAAAAAACAAGATGTGACTCAAGAGTAATAGTTTTCCCATGTGGTTTATCTAATGAGAATACCTGAAGGAATGCTTATTGCAGTGATAACACTACTAAAACAGTTACAACCACACAACTGAAAGACAGCCCGTGTGGATGTGTGAACTCTGATGTTACTTTAAATTAGCCTCCAAGATGAAATGTTGTCCTGCTGACGATGACTTTACCGTGGTCTTTGCTGGATTACAGATGGAGTGTGCACCCAAATTAAGAAAAACGAGCAACTGTGAAGCGAGGTACTTGAGAGATCACAACTGTGAAATATAAGCTAATGGCAAGAGGTGTGTGAGGTGCTGGCCACCAAAGGGGGTCCAGGGCAGTAACAAGGTTCCCCTAGTCAGGAACTTGTGAGAGCAGCACTGAGATGGGCTAGAGGGATGAGTGCACCTTCTCCCATGTGACACCATAACTAGAATGGTGTAAAGCACCCGTCTACCACAGCGTGCAGTGGGGAGGTGGAAAGGAGAGCCAGATGTCACCACAAGGGGCAACCATCCAAGCTCAAGAGCAGTTGGACTGTCTGCACTCACCTTCCTGTGCACAGTCCCACAACCATCGCTAATGCAGCACTTCCTTGGCTGACTCAGGGCCTGGGGCTTGGGGTGGAGGACACTTGTGGTGTTCAGTGACTGAGTGGAGTCAGTGAAGGTGACATATGGAGAAAAATGCTGGAGTACTGTTAAAAATATAGCATTCTGAGTATGAGTGGGAATATGAATTTCACTGATCACCAAGAACATTACAAGAAAATGCACACCTAAGCTTGAAAACCTGTCTGTAAAAATGTTACCTAGAACTAGATTCTTAGAAAGCTAAATGCACATCTAAGTCTCACAGAGGCTGCTGCGCACTCTACAGCAAGCTTCCTAGGAAGAAAAAGAGCACACACATGCCCCTCCGGGTGACTAACCAAAAAGGGGGTCACAGAGGTGGGAGGAAGCAGAGGAGCCAGGAGCAGCCTGACTTGAATCTACAGCTACTCACACAGAAGACAAAGTTTGGTGTTAGGTGCCTCAAGCCACAAACAACTCACTCTTTAAGCTTCTAAGGGGTATGCTGGGCCATCAGACACCTCCCAGAACAGTCAAGCTAATCTACCTGCATTGAGGCACTGGGCCAAAACTACTCAAGAGCTATTCTAACTGCCCCTGCTATAGATTCTGACCCTGCATCAGGTCACAATGATGACAAACTTTCTGCCTTTTTACTACACTGAAAGACCTCTCACCAGCATGTGGTTCCTTTACTGTTGAATAATGCCCAAACTATGACTCAAGTTTTCCCCTAAACTCCTATGGTCTCAGATTTTTCTGCAGTGTGGATTCTCTGATGTCGAATGAGACTGGACCTCTGAATAAAAGCTTTCCCACACTCATTACATTGATAGGGCTTCTCCCCTGTATGAATTCTCAGATGCTGAATGAGGCCAGTGTTCCCATTGAAAGCTTTCCCACATTCTTTGCATTTATAGGGTCTTTCTCCAGTGTGGATTCTCTGATGCTCAATAAGGCCTGACTTCTGACTAAAGGCCCTCCCACACTCATTGCATTTGTAGGGTTTTTCCCCAGTGTGGCTTCTCTGATGGCCAATAAGATGTGAGCTCCGCCTGAAGGTTTTCCCACACTCATCACACTCATAGGGCTTCTCCCCAGTGTGGATTCTCTGATGTCCAATGAGATGTGAGCTATGACTGAAGGCTTTCCCACACTCATTACATTCATAGGGTCTCTCCCCACTGTGGATTCTCTGGTGCAGAATGAGGCCCGCACTCTGACTGAACGCCTTCCCACACTGGTTGCACTGATATGGCTTTTCCCCAGTGTGGATTCTCTGGTGCAGGATCAGGCCTGTGTTTTGACTGAAGGCTTTGCCACACTCCTTACAGTGATAGCGTTTTACTTTGTTGTGGATATCCTGATGGGAAAGAAGGGCTGACCTGTAACTGAAGGCTTTCCCACACACATTACACTGATAGGGTTTCTCCCCAGTGTGGATTCTCCAGTGGCGAACAAGGCCTGAGCTCTGAGCAAAGCTCTTTCCACATTCATCACATTTATGTCGTCTCTCCTGGGTGGGATTCCCCCGCTGCCTCTCTAATCTGCCCAGAAGGTCTTGGGCTTCTCCACGCTCAAGACCCCCGATAATATCACCATTGCATTTCGCAGCTGTCTCTCCATGTAGTTGGGCTCCGGTAGATATTACCTGTTTTGAAGCTAATTCCTTGTTCTCATTCCTGGTTTCACCACCTGAAACAAAAATGTAATAAGTCATCAAGCAAATGTCACTTCCTATTCTTTGTTAGGGGAAAGGAATCAAAGATAGGAGAAAAGGAAAATAAATATGGAACAGCTACACAAATTGCAAAGCTTACATTTGTCTCCAACATGCCTTCAAACATGAAGAGATAGGAGCAAGTCAAACCCAAGTACCACCGGCTAACTGGGGAAGAAGTGCCATGAAAAAGAGAAGTTATTGGAAGGGGACTAAAGCAGGGAAGGGAAAGCTGAGGAGAAGTGGAAGTCAGGAAGTGGGAAGGTATATGGAACAACTAGAAGATATAATGAGTGGGACAAAAATGGAAAAAAATCCCCAAACAGTCATAAAAAGGAAGGAGCACAAGAGGCCTAAGTGAGAGAAATCTATGTAAATATCCTATGGGAACTGGGGGCAGAAGAAAAGAGTGAACTCAGACAGGACTAAAAGAGCAAGCTAAGTCAGTCCTGGATTCGAGTCCTGGTTCCACTTTAGACCTCAAGAAGTCTCAATATTGTATTTTTATGTTGAATCCTGAATTTACAATCAACTGTCTTTCAGAAAACTCACAATGTAAGTATACATCAAAAACAAGCTAACAGACAAATGAACCAACAGAAAACCTTAACTATGATTAATAACCAGAGCACCACTCACCCAGGGAGAACATGCTTCTGTAACTCTCTTGCCTGTCATCTCCCTTCAGATCCTTCTGTGACGGATTAAGAAGCCACTCCTCTCGAATCAGGGACACGGCCATGTCTTCAATCTTCTCCAAAGTCTGAAACAAAATAAACTCCCATTTGAGGACTGGATTGTTCCACAGCTCAAACCCAAAGTGCCAGTGACCCACCAGCGTCAGACGGGCCAAGAGCTGGGAATGTACTGATCAGCTGGGAAGAAGACGTAACAAGTCAAATATCAATCTGCCTCTATTCAAAAGGATGTTGGGCAAGTTCTTGGGTGAGCTCTGCTACAGGCAGTCCACACACAGGCTATAGGCCATGATCATGACCAAGGGCAGCGATGGGGCTTCAGTGAGAAGGAGCACGACTCACCTGGAACCCTGCTGTTAGAAGTGACGCAGCCATCTGGTTTCCAGGACTTCCTTTCTGGGAAGGGGTGGGACTATGAGAAGCAGATACAGCTGAGGAGGAGAAAGAAGCTATGAATGAGGCCAGCCTTATGTTGTGCTTGCAGAAGTCACCAGTAACTCATTATAAAATTATCTGTATTTAAGCCAAAACGCATGCCAGATACTACTAGGAAATGCTGATAGGTTGGCTCTGGCTCTAGACCTCTGGTTGTCCATAAAACATCCACACTCTGATGTCCCTCTCAGCCTGACGCTGCACATAAAACATACAAATTGCATGGCTTCCTAACAGGAACTGCTGCATAATTTCTCCTCTGACCAAAGCCACATTCTATCCTTGTGCTGGTTACAGGATCCCTTTAGGTCCCAGTCTCTTGGCAACCTCTATTTACTGTGATTTTCACAAATGTCTACACAACTGCCAGTATCTGCTGCCAGATACCAGACAGCATAGCACAAAACCAGCAGCAGGCCTCAGCACATCACACAAGAATTATATTGATAAATGAAACTGCTTCTATGTTTCTTCTCCAGAAATATTAAAAAGCCAATTTTATAGAACAAACTTCTATAAGTCACACATGTAAAACCATAACAAATGCAGGGCAGGTCTGAGCTAGGACTGGGATGTACTGTTCTGTAAGGAAGTAAGTTCTCAAACAACGATGGGAAATGCCAAACGGATATAGGAGTCAGACTGAAGGGGCCTCCTCTGGCAAATCTGAGACAATTTACGCATCAAAATAATGGTAGTAACAACATATTCATGGGAAAGAATAGAATTTCTGAGTCCATACTGATAAATAAAATTAAAATAGGGAGAAGGGAACACTCTCCATTATAAGAAACAAATCAACGTAGAAGGAGTAAAAGAAAGTTATCATTTTGTAACTTGCTTTTTAATCACTGATTCAGTCAAGAAGCATCAATTACTATTCAAAGTAGTATTTTAGCAATAATACTGTAATGAGGACCAGGCTACTTACACAGACTCAAGAGTATCTCCCCACAAGTTACTTATTAATTACAAAAAGAAAAATAGTAACCCAGCAAAAATAACCTCAACCAAGTCAACAAAATTACCATCAGCAATAACAGGACAAATTGCTGCTGTGTCCCTGAGGACACAACCTCACTTCTGAGTGTTCCTGCCAGATAGACAGAAAGCTGGATAAGTAAAGTGTTGTCCTGGACTGGACTCTGGACGAACACTATTGGAACCACAGGCAAAATAGGAATGTGAGCCGTGGATGAGATGAGTGTTGTATCAGTGATACATCTGATTGTTTGAGGAAATACATACTGAAATATTTACAAATAAAGCGGCATGATGATACCAATAAACCTCAAAAACTTTTTTTGGCAATACAATGGGGTAACAGAAATGTATGAATACATAGAAGTTGCCAAATTCTTTAATTTGCTCGTGAGTTCAGCCTTGGGATTGACAGTCTGTATGTGAAGCCTACATAAACATTGACACCACAACTATGAATGGTCTATAAAGAGTGGTTCCCCAGAAACAAGAT